CAGCTATGCTGTACTTGGGTTCCATTGGGCATTAACAACTGAGATTTGCAAACGCTATCAGCGTTAGCTTTCCAATGGCGCATGAGAATAAAAAAAGGGAAATAATGTACTTATAAATTAATATGAAAAAAAGAAATAAAATGAAATTTACGATAACAATAATATTAAATTGTTATAAAATAATATGTTTTCTGGATTTAAAGTTGAGTACTTTAATCAGATCTACGGGTGAAAATAGTCCCGTCAGTGTAATATCATCTCGAAACGAGGGCTGATGTGCTTAAGATTCTGATCCTCAGTCACTTGTACAGCCTGTCACCACCAACTTACAGGCTGGCAACCCCTGCGTACTGCTCCCACAAAAATGCTTATTACCACATCACGACGAAATCCTACGTGGCACTCCCTTGTTTCTCTTTCTCTTATATATAAAATCCCCCCAAGCCCCATCTTCCACTTGCCCATTCAATCCTTTTAGTTCAAAAAATATACGAAAGCAGCATTAAAATCCGCGAATCTGGAAAATGGGTACTTGTAGTTCTTGCGATTCGAATCATGCAGCCACGGCCAAGCTGATTCTCCAAGACGGGAGATTACAAGAGTTCCCTTACCCTGTCAAGGTTTCTTACGTTCTGCAGACGAACCCTACGTGTTTCATCTGCAACTCCGATGAAATGGATTTCGACGACGTCGTGTCCGCCATCGAAGAAGACGAGGAGCTTCAGCCCGGTCAACTTTACTTTGCCTTGCCTTTGAGTTGTCTTAAACATCGCTTGCAGGCTGAAGAAATGGCTGCATTGGCTGTTAAAGCTAGCTCCGCTCTGATGAAAAGTAATAAACGTGGTGAAAAATGTGGGTGCAGATGTAAATCCGTTACCCCTTTACCGGTTTCAGAGGAGTCTCATCGTCGGAGAGTTGCCTGCGCTGGCAGTGCTGGCGGTGGTGGGAAGAGAGGGAGGAGAAAGTTCAAGGCTATGTTGAGTGGTATTCCCGAATAAGGAGGGGGTTATTTTGGGAAAACATGATCGGTATTTTTGTAAATAAGCAATGAAGTTGAGTTGTTAGTTTAATCGTTGGTAAATGGAGGTGATTGATCGTCATGGTGGATGTGATTACCTTAAAAATTCTACTATGTCCTTACATTATCATTTGCCCACGTAAGGGTCGTGTTACAGTTTTACCCCTATTTGGGTCAAAAATCAATTTCACACACAATTCTCTATAATTATTCAAAATAATTAATTTAATTAATGTCATGAATCTACTCAGGACAATCTTATTAAATCTACATTTAAATTACTCGTTTCAAATTAGGAGTGTGGGCAACTAAACGATGGAGACTTGCATCAAATGTGTTTTATATAAGAATGAGTATTGGATTTGAATCCGATGAGTTTGATTTTATTTTTCTTTAGAAAAATTGAGTTAAGATCGAATCAAATTAGATTGTATTTTTAATATCATAAATTATGATTGTATTTGAGTTTAAGATGAGAAGTATTCGATAGTCAATCACCTTTATTTCACTATGACATATTGAACCAACTCTTCAACTTAGATTTATTTGAAAAGATTGAGATATAAAATATTATATCATCTATGTGTTATTCTTCAATTAGGTATTTATTTTATAAAATAAAATTAAGAATTATATATATTATGTCGGGTTGAATTTTATCTCAAAAGATAAATCATGTTTTGAGTCGAGTAAAATCCTTGTTTGACAATATACGTTTATCATATCGAATCATATTAATTGAAATTTCAACTTAATCCTATCCATGTTGGTCCTAAATTTATATACATCGTATAACTTGTAGCTGTAAACCTATCTTCTTTCTACTTGTTGGAAATGGGGCAGACTCCATATCATCATCAAACATCCGCTTCAACTCGTTGTACTGAAAACCTTTCTCTTCATTATTGGATGGAATTGAAACTCAAATAAATTGCTTACAACTAAGAGTTAGATGAAAATGCTTGACCATTAGATGGTATATCAACTTCACTGAATTGCCTGTTTGGTTCGTCAGAAAATTACCATGCATGAAAACAAAAACGGTGGGGGTAAGTAAAACCATAATTTTCAAGAGTGGAGGGACCATGACCAACAAACACCCAAACCATCCATCATTTCACACAAGTTGGTGGTCCTTAGCTTCTCGTGAGTTGGTCCAAATTTAGATGGAATCGCATTCGACTATTTCTTTAATGAAAGGCATATGTATATACACACATACATATAGTACTATCCAATCAATGTCTTGGACTCGTCTGGAAAATTCATCATCTTTTAAATTGCGGCCAACAATCTTAAACGTCTAGATGAATATAAGTACAATAATTTAGATCCCTCTAGTTTTTCTTGCGTGCTATTTTGCTAAAATAAATATCCATGCCTTCAGGGCCTCAACTACCTCGATCGTAGAGCTCTTGTTGGATTTGGATACAGCTGTTTCTCGAATAAATTTGGAGTTCTTTGGAATTGAATTTCGATGAAGAATTAAATACTTTATCCATAAATCACATGACTGTCGATGAATTAATATATATGATGCTGTCTCTCTTTTATGCATGTTTCTCCCAGTCAATGGCGAAATCGGGTAACTCTTTACTTTGTAAACAGTAAAATGAATTTATATTTTACCGTCCATGTCTTTCTTTTTGCAGTGCGTGTACTTCAACGAAATCCCAACCGTAACTTATTTTCTTTGCTCATAGTGCGTGTAATTGGACGAGTATATGATTAGGTAATCTTGGATGCCATTGCCCTACAGCCATTCTATTTGGAGCATATTAACTTTTTTCTTTTAGATTCTAGGGCACATCTCTGGGGACTTTATTAGCCTACGGAGTAGTAGTAGATACAGGGGGGCCTCTCCTTATCAAAACAGTTAAATGTTCAACTAGAAATATTGCTTATGACTACGTACAGTGAAACACAAGAGTGGTCCAAACGAGGTCACGATGTGGAGCTTCAAAAAGCATGATTATTAATTCACATTTGATTCATCATAGTAAAATTGATAAAATTAATCTAACCAAATCAAATGAATTTTTATTTAAGGAATTGATTATAAATATTTGTAAGACCGCATTTTTAAAAACAACATATCTAATCTAGCTTGTAAGTTTATAACACACTCATAATGGTGCATTGTCGGTGTTTCGGTCCGATAAAGAACACATCAAAATTTGAGGTTAGATAGAAGGAATTTTGGCGAGAATATGACATGGATGTTGGGTTCAAACAAGCATTGAAATTGACAAGATATAAGGAAACAAATGAAAGTGGGGATATGGGAGAAAATTAGTAGAGAATCATTTGAACAATCGTTGATGGGAATGTGGACAATTTAGGCTCACCGTCTTGTTACCGACGTTCAATTTTTGGTCACCATATTTACCATGGGCCCTTTCAGGCTGAGATATTTTTGTTTGGGTCGGACTACATTACTCCGTCTATAATCACCATGATAAATTTATTGGTCATAATTATTTATTTTATATATTGCATTAATAAATAATTATAAATTATTTAAACAAATCACTTAAAGCGTACATAGACAGCAATGTAAATGAGATTAAAAGTTTGACATTTTAATTGATATTTTTATTTAAAAAATATTAATCAATTCTTTTTATAAATTGAAAATTAAATTTAACCTTTCGAGGTTCTAATATGTGTTAATAAAAAGGGAACACATGGTCATGGGCTCGTGGCCGAGTTAGTCCTTCACTTGTTTATGTATAGGGATGGACATGGAACACATATATATGATTTTATAGGATTAAGTTCTTTTTTTAAAATATTTAGATTTAGATTTAGTCGTTTATTTAGAGTATAATATTGGATCAAATTTAAATTTAAGGTAATTTGACCTAATTCTATTTGAAAGTATATTCGGTATAATTATCCTTTATATGTCTAGGATAATTATAGTAATATTTATCTTTATTTTTTAAAAATAAAAAAAGTATTTTATACATTTGTACGAGATCAATTGGTTTAGATTTTTACTCCAAACTCAGGTTGAATGTTAAGTTGGGTGATAAAGTATTCAAGTTAGATTCAAGTTGATCAAAATTTTACTCAATTCGATCTGATCCATAGTCATCTAATTGTCTATCAGTTGTAAACACAAAGACGATGTCTATGTAATGTAGTTTGCTATTTTGCCCTGTTTCACATGTATAATTTTAAATTCGTTATTCAAGGAAACACCATAGAGAATAGAAATTTAGAGATTGTGGTATGGCTGAAATAATGGGATTTCAGTTTCCATTAGGAGAGAAGCCTGGTGAGAACCTTGCTTGGACTTGAAGGCGGAATGGACGCATTCTGCCTTTTCTATGCTCCCTCCTCTTGTCAAACAAGATATGAACATGGAGGAGAGTGGGCATACGTAATCAATCCTTCTCAAACTCCGCACTGTTTTTGTTACACATCATATAAAGTTTGATTCTTCCACTGAGACTCAAAATTCACCATCAATTTTTTTTTACTAAATAACTACAAATAATCATCATTTTTAAATACCCAAAATTTTATTAACCCTGCATTTACCCATACAATAACGAAAGAGCTTATAAATATCAAAATCCCATAAATCAGAAGAAAATAAATGGTAAAACTGTGCATAAAGTCATTTGGCAATTTGTTGAAGTGTGAACGTAAGACATTGGTGTGGCGCAGAAAACTACAAGAGCAAAGCCGGTGGGTGCCTTTTACGTCAAATGTGACTTTTGTGGAGCGGAAACAAAGGCTCTCTAAATTCTAAAGCTCAAATCCTGCTTTTTACTCTTTAGTCTGGGCATTGAAATTTAAGCACAACGGTCCAATATAAACCTAAAGTTTGACTCTTTTAAGACCCTTCCATCAATTTTCACTTTGGGAAATCTTTGATATTAGAAAGAAATTTATACATGCATAATCAAATATAAAATATTGCATCCAGGGCAAGGCATGCATATCAGGAAGAATGAATGGTATAAAAAACCTACTATATATATTATATAAATGTATTCAACACCGCAATCAAATCCTATTCTAGACTTTCCTGAAACACCCAAGAAAAATATTGTTAAAAGAAGGCTAAATGGGCGCCTGTATATCCTCAACTTCAAGCGCAAAATCAGGCCAAACTGTAGGAGGAGGACCGAGTTGCGTCAAGCGGTCATCGACAGCAGCCAAGGTGGTTCACATGGAAGGTCGTGTTCAAGAGTTCAGGCAATCAGTCCAAGCCAAGAACATCGTTTCTCAGAATCCTGGTCACTTCCTTTGCAGCTCCGAGTCGATGTCCATTGGGACATGCGTGCCCCATGTGCCCGATGAGGAGGAGCTTCAACCGGGACAGGTTTACTTCTTGTTGCCACTCTCCCAATCCGATAAACCCCTTTCCTTGCCGGACTTGTGTTCCCTCGCCATTAAAGCTACCGCTGGCTTTGGAAGACACAATGTGGACCTCTCCTCCAGTAACTCCAAACTCATCCTTAGGTGATGGAGGTGGTAAGATCGACATGTTCTTTTTTTTCATTAATGTGATTACTATTCTAAAAGTCAACGTTTTTGGATTGGTGTTTTCACTTTAGGAAAGTAGCCAATTCTCTTCTAACTTTGTTTGCCAATTGATCAAACCCAAACTTGCCACGGCACCCAGTGAGGCCTATCACCTATGGTTACCGTTCTTGCTTACTTAACCCATGTTTTGCTGCAATACTCTCTGATAAGTTCAACTCTAAAACTTTCATTCTCAATCGTCAACTGATGTTTTTTGTTGCTTTTGTAGTGTCTTTTTATCATTTGTTTGGGGACAGATTATTGATTCATCGCCATTTTTGTTCCCTCTGAAGCTTAATATTATAAACTCAAATGGAAATGTAAATACGACCATGTCAAATGAGAATGGCTTGGACTAAACACCTTCCACAATCAACATACTTTTCAAAGCCAATCCAACTAATGCACCAAAGTTTTGCAGTAACAGTTGAATTCAATTAAAAAATAACTCATTAGGGTGTTAGGGAATTTTAATGTTTAACGTAACATATAAGAGATTATGATAGATTTCTTTCACTCTTATAAACCGAGAAGGAACTGCAAAGATAATTTGAATTCAAATTATTGAACCAAATTCAGATTTCATGATAATCATTTATCAGATTGTGTCAAGGGGACAGTGTAACTAAGTTATCTTTTTCAATTCGAAAAAGACAATATTATGTCTATATCATCATCAAATTAATTATCTTTTTGAGTTTGGATTCAAGCTAAAGGAAAATAAATAAAATGCACTGATCCCCATGATCTTTACCCTGATTCATTGACATAACCTGACCAAAACTATTTATCACAAAGCACATGGTCTCCAATGGCCAAACGCCTTGGTTTCAATTCTAGTTCCAGCTATTTGCCATAACATAGACGACGGATAGTGCCAGAAGCTGGCCCTGGCAGCACAGCTTGACCATCAGCGCTGCCAGAGAATTCCAGGAAGCACAGAAGCAATTAAGATTCAAGAGCTACAGTATTGGTCGGACCTCTCAAGTGGAGTGAGCAACTAGCCAATGCTAACAACCCTCCTTGCTATGTGCCAAGGAACAAAATGGGTTCTCACTCAGTTTGCAGGCCTGACAGATCATATGTATGGAGCAAACCAGTCATTGGGTTTAGTGGAGCACCAGGTGACCCATCCATGGATTGTTGAAAGTTCTGAGAAGATGATAGAATCAGCTCGAAAAGGGTTTTTCTCGCACAGTTTTTCTTTTTCCTTTTACAATATGGGTATGACTGAGGACTTTGTTAAGTATGATTAATCATGAAAATAACCATGGAAGGTTGGTTCTGCGTTTTTTTTAACTTAGAGCAACTGAATTGGGAAGTATTGTCAGCTAAATCTGAAGCACTCGGCTGACAGAGCAGACCGCGTGCAAAGAGCAAAGCTGTGCAGTGTGCTCAACGTGCCATATGAACAAGGTTGGGCCCAATTCTCTATATTTCACCAACATGGCCAGAATTTTTAAGTCAAATTATGAAATGGGTTCACGTGCTATTGCAGAAGACCAACTGAAATTTAGTATAGGCATATTGAGGGTCAGATGCTCAAGTTGTGTAACTTGTGTTGGTATGGACTGGCCGAGTTACAGAGCCATGCATGCATGAATAAATGGATGATTGAAATGATTTTTAAGGAAGAACTCGTACCAAAACTGCATACAAACCTTGATGCACAATTGCACATTGCATAACACAGCATAATAACAATTACGTTACAAAATATACCCTATTTCTACTTTGTACAGAGAAAAATGTGAAATCTTACAAAATGGAAATAGCCTATTTCATCAGCATACAAGCAATCATCTTACTAGTTCTTTAGATATTAGATACCCGAAGGTGAAATTGTGAGGAATCCACTCGATGCTCTTGCGGGATTTGTTTACCGGACATTTTCTGATGCTCTTATGAAGGGTTTCAGGCAAAGATTGTTGGAGCATTTCAATGAGACCAGCTGGACATAAACTTGAGTCCTTTGCAAATGATTCTACGATCTTTGGTAACAGAATTTTCAGGTCTTTGCGGACACCAAATGAGGCTCTGATGTACTCCTGTTTTGCAGTTTCCAGCTCTTGAAATACTTTCTTCGGTGTAAAGGCACGGACCTAAAAAAAAGAATAAATATGATGAGATAATTTACATAAAGTTGACACCAAAGGAAAACTTCAAGGCCAGCATAAATCCAACATCTCTCAACTGGTTCTTAAACAATCCTATCATTGGTCCTAATAGTAGGGATGAAAAAACTCAGATCAAAGATGATATAGTACTGCAGGATCGGAATGGTTTCCCGAACAGAGAGCAAAGTGTAGAAGTGGTTCTGGATGTTCAATTGCATATGCCTGCCTTCTGTCTCCAGTTTTAAACTTTTTCCTCGAAGAAATTAATAACCGAAGCCACTACAAGCAGGAGAACCCTCAGTCAATTCCAGTTTTAAGTAATTATAGATTCAAAATCAAGGACAGGGAAGACGAAAATTTAGATCTACCTGTCCAGGACGAGACATACGACACCCAAGGATGGAACTCTGTATTATATCTGCACTAATGGTGTGACCCCCAATGTTATATGCAAGCCTGTATAGTACGACTATGAGATAATGCATTCCAGTCTAGTTTCCTTATTAATGAGAAGCAGAAATGAAGACAAGTTTGGTTACCCTCGAAAGTAGAAAGAATATCTTCACATTATTTTGTGGAATACCATAAGCCAGAAATGCCTATATTATAGAAGAAGAGGGAAGACCGAGTATTATCGTGAAATTGAAGCCAAATCTATACTATAATAGAATATTCTTTTAATTTGATGAGAATACATACATGCATCACTAATGAATTGTGTATGTTTATCCAGAACGCTAGCTTCTCTTCATGTCTCAACTTCCTTGGATTAACTTCTTCCAGTCGACAGATAAGAGACCTGTAACAGAATAATAATTTGATAAACACGTGATTAGAAGCAAGATGAGCAGAGATCAAATGTTTGGTGGTGATGATTCCAATGTTAGGAGACCGACCTGAAATTTTGTAGCAAGTTTTCAACATCAGCCATCTTTTTATTATCCCTTAAAATCCATTGCACTTCAAGCATTGTGCTATATGGTCCGCAAAACTCTTTGAGTCCTTTGATGTGGAAAGGGTTATCTAACCGTACGTCGAAAGATGAATTATTTCTGAACCCTGGACTCCACATGTCATGCTGATCTTTTGGGGAAAAAACACTAGCTGATGACATGGATGAATTGGGAGATGAACTGCTGTTTTGGATCAACGGTGGGTCTGCAAGCTTGCAATATATAACAGACATACACTTGATCATATCCTCCGAAAGCTCGTTTGGTGTGTCTGGGACATGATCAGATATTTGAGTGCCAAGATACTCGGCCAGACTGATTATATTCGATGCATTCTGAGCATACTGTAGAGAACCATGCAAAAATTAAAACCTCAAGTTCCTCAAAGTGTCATACATATCATAAGAGAGATTGCACTCCCATTAAAGATAAATTGCTCTCTTGTGCATGCAATCAAAATGAGATGATGATTGAAATACTTTATCTCAAGCTTTGAGAGTGGAAACGTAAGCATTAATTCCAAAGGTAAACAACATAAGTTTTTGGTCATCATATTTCCAGAAACAATAAATTACTAAATGCTTTACTAACATGCAACATGATCAAGAATTAGTCGAAAATGTTAAGTACAACGAAATAAAAATGTTGAGAAGATTACATGGTAAAAGTAGGTTACCTCCACCATGGACAAAGGTTGTGAATGACAGGCACGTACAGCTCTATCAGCCAAAGACTCATCCAGAGGTGATGTCCAACTAGGAAATACTGAGTGCTGTGATAGAGTGGAATGACAGCGATAAACGCCAGAATCTAATAGTTTTTCTCCTACAATGCCAATAGGCTCCTTCCATGAGTTCTCACCGTAACCACACTGCATAGTTGAATTTTCATGTTTTGATGCATCAGGTCCCGAGAACTCCAAACATCTCCCTCTCAAAGTATTTACTGGTTTTTTTAACCTTTCATCCAAAGGAAATGCCCAACTTGGAAATACTGAACGCTGCGACAGCGAGGAATGACAGCGATTAACACTAGAATACTTTTTCTCCTACAATGCCAACTGGCTCCTTCCAAGAATTCCGACGGTGACCACACTGTACAGCTGAATTTTCAAGTTTTGATGTATCATAAGGTCCCGAAAACTCCAGAAGTCTCCCACTTGGGGTATCTACCAGTGTTTGTAACATTTCATAACTTTTACTTGAGGTATCTACTGGTGTTTTTAACCTTACATCCAGAGGAGATATGCAACCTGGAAATACTGATCGCTTTGACAGTGAGGAATGAGAGCGATGAAGACCGCCATCTAATAGTTTTTCTCCTCCAATGCCAATAGGCTCCGTCCATGAATTCTCCCGGTAACCAGACCATACAGTTGTGTTTTCAACTTTTGATGCATCATCAGGTACGGAAAACTCCAAAGACCTTTTACTTGAGGTATCTACTGGCGTTTTCAACATTACATACCTTCTACTTGGGGTATCTACTGGTGTTTTTAACCTTTCCTCACTTTTACTTGTGCTATTCACTGGTGTTTTTAACCATTCAACCCTTTTACTTGGGCTATTCACCGGTGTTTTTAACCTTTCAACCCTTTTATATGGTGAAATTGAAGACACTTTTAGATCAAAGGCTTTCCTATACAAGGAGAGAAGGTACTGCTCCAAATATATAACTTCCAATTCCATAACAGCAATTTCCTTTATTAATTCCGTAGCCGGCTGCAGAAAAGCAATGTCAACGGTCAAGAGGCAGACATGAAGAATGCATAACAAAAGAGCGAAAAGCAAAGACGAGAAACAAATTTCTGAGAATCCAGGGCAAAAAAATTGGTATAAATGAGAATTCAATTGTCCATTGAGTGTAGAAGAAGCATGCCATCAAGAAGAAGAAAAACATAACAATTCCCAGAGAAATAAGAACTTGGAGGAGTTACTTTAGACATGGACACTGATGTTTCATTTGTATCTTCATGAGAGGAAGCTCTATAATCCAATGCTTTTTCTACAGCACGACGAATCTCGAATTGATCTTTTAATCTTTTCTCAAGCTGCAAAATCTGCAATAAAGATTTTTAAATTCATGTGAGCAATAGAATTTCAAAACTTGAGTTGCAGCCTAAGCTTGGGTCACAAAAGACCTGAACAGGCCACTCCTGGACTGAATTCAAGCCCTGTAAGTACCTAAATAAGACTAAAGTGATAATAAAACAGATTCAGCTCCACACCTCTTGCTTCAAAGAGCTTTGTACCTCAGAGCTTGGGGTGGGAGATTGCTTCTGGGTTTTGACAGAGTTCTTCAAGTGCCTCATGTCCTGGAACCACATACATAAATCAGACCTTTTTGCACTGGAGAAATATTCTTTAGCAATAATCCTTTAACCTTATACGATTATACCCCATTTTTCATGCATAGATACTATATTTTTATTCAGCAATAAGGAAAAGCGGGGGAAAAGAAAAGAAAGAAACGTGGGAACGAGCAGGGAAAAAGATATCTGTTGACGAAAACGGGTAAAGAAAACAAAAGAACACGAGAATTTTACGAGGTTCGGCAATGTACTTACGTCCTCGGTGCCTAGACGGCGCTAGAAATTTTTATTCAATGATATTTTAGGTCTAGGTTAGATCTCTATTTATAATAGAAAACTCTGGTACATAATTACAAAATTAACCCTGTACCCCTCACCCCAACCCACATAATTCGTAACCCCACAACGAGACTTTCTTTGTAAGGACAGTTGATGTTCGCTTCGCTCACTCCACTCCATCTCCTGTCCTCTTTACTGATATATTTATGAGCAATACTTAACAATATCCTTGTAATAATTTATATGGCTGCCACTTTACCACACCTTTACATTGGGTTCATGGGAAAAGTATTCATTAGTCAAAAAAACAATAAGATAGTCAAATCATTAGCTTACAGATTACTTTTTAGAGAAAAAGGGAAAGAATTACCAGCTTCACACGATTTGATTCTTCAAGAGAATTATCCAAGTCATCTTCTTCATCTCTTTGCTCATCAGGAAAGCTGCTGTGTGACAAAATCAAGCACCAAGAATCAATAGATAAGACTTGCAAAAGGCAGGATTTGAGGAAAGCCATTGTGAATCGTAGCCGTCTCGTGCCTATTTTGCAAAACTCAAACAAAGTATAATTTTTTTTTTCTCAATTCATCATCCTGTATCACCGATCCACTTCTTAGCTATCATTGTCAACAAACCATGTCAAAAACGGTTTTCAATTACTTGTAACTCACCAACGAGTTATTAATGGCAAACGTTACTTGAAATAAAGGATAACCATTTAATCTTTAGCAAAGAAAAGAAACATTTGATGGCAGAAGCCAAATTTCAAGCAGTTGCGTGATTTAAAGAAATTCCCTTTGAAACTCCATATAGACCACTAGCATTTAATGAAGAACCAAAACTAGGAAGTATGGACAGAAAGCCAAATTAATACGGTTTCCTACTTCTGTATAAATGCTTAAAGTTCCAAGTTTTGCCTTTTAAGTAAACCCCGTTTCATGACTCGTTTAGAGGAAAAAGCTTAACATTTTTACAACAAAGGCGATAGATAGCAAACTAAACGAAAGATTTTTGAACAGTCACCCCTTGGAACGCTTGTGTCTTGAAGATGTCACTTTCGGGCAAAGCATTTCACTTTCACCGTTGCCTTGAAACCCCATAACTGATAAATTAGTATCAGAGAGATAAATTGTTTATATCTGAGAAGAGAAACCAAAAGATAGCAGAAAATGGAACAAAGTAGAGACCTTTACCAATTAGGCTCCAAAAGAGAGGGAGGAAAAAAAAACAAGGGAACCCCAGAGATGAAACTTGAGAGAAGAAAAAGAACAAATGGGTTCTCAGACTCAGAGACCCTTGATTACATTCCAAAATTAAACTTGTCTTCTTGCATTTTCATGGCAACTAACCACAATGCATCATTTTGCTGCTAAAAAACAGCCTGAAACTTAGTGGGAGAACTGAAAAATGCTTTTGCATAAAAAAACCCACAAAAAAAACGTATAAGAAAAGATGAGACTTTCTTGGCTTTTGACCAGTGTTTCCTTCTCTTCACTTTACATTAAAAGGGGTAAAACCAGTTCGTGGGCATCAAGGAAGAAGAAGAAAGTCTTGTGTTTGACACTCTATCCCCCCTTAAACGTCAATTGTCAAATGACGAAAAGCGTACACTGTTCTTCAATCAACCGACTACCACAGGTCTCTAAAGCAGACAAATTGAAGATAGATAAATAATGACTCCGACTGTTTAAAACTTTAGAGCATAGGGAAACGAATATTTTATTGATAGTATACCTCCATTAGTCAATCTCCACGTTCTCGTTGTTTTCCATTTTTGAGAAGCAAGTGGGAGCTGATGCTGTTATTTACTATATACAGTACATATATTGTATGATAATTCATTCAGTTTCATATATGTTGAACATAGGAATGGTATCAAAATTTCTTTTATTTGTTAGAAATTTAAGGAGCAAATCTCTAACATGTCACGACTCTCGATCAGAGCTCTAAAGTCAACTATTAAAGTAAATGGGCAACTTTTTCATATGCTTTATCAACGTATATGTGGGATTAATAATAAGTTGACGTAGTAGGATAATGTATTAGATTTTTAAAATATTATCATATATTTAAATTTTATTGTTTTTAAATAAAGTAAATTGAATTGGGAGTGTTATCTTCATCTCTACAATATTCGATTAATGGATAGATTGGATACGAGTAATAAATTTAAAAAATAATTTAAATCCCTTATTTTTCTAAAAGTTAGAGAATTTATGAATGTTTTAAGAATTTAAATTAAAAGTTAAAAAATACCAGTCAAGACACATATAAAGTAAGGATTGGATGATAATTTTTTTTAACTTATATTAATAATTTGATCTTAAAATGATAATGGAATAAAACATTGCACACTTATTCTGATAAAACAAAAAACAAAACACCTAAAACCAAAAACCAAAAAAGAAAAGATGATTGTTAAGTTTATTTCCCTCCAACTTTACTTTAGCCTTGTAGTTAGCTCAGGACATTGCTTGAACTTGGTGCATTTCCATTCACCAACTTGTTGGACACAGATGTGAATTATACAAGGTATCACATGTATGTATATACGATAAGAGTTTGTGTCTCATAATTGTCAAATCAAGTAACTCATCATCAAACAAATCCATCATTTCCTGTATCGAACTGGTTGCTTAACATAGCTGAAATAATGGTTCATTTAATAAGTAATTATGCCATTTATTATATGGTGATTTTCCTGAAAAATCACCGTTCAATAGTATATTTCTCGATCATGCACCGATCAGATTATATTTCTTGATTTAACACTCTTAACAAGAAAGCGCATCTCCTACACCGCGTTTTATACTGATTTAATGTCACGTGGGCTGAAACGCACCTTACGTTGACATGAATATAACGCAGCCCTTGAGTGGGTTCTTTTTCCCACACTCAGCTCATTGTTACGTTATACATGCAAAACTATATATATAATAATGTATATAAAAAGGAGTCACGCGTTGGTGAGTGGAATAGTATTTTGTGTCAGTCACGTGAGTCTTTCACTCACTACCTTTCCGAAACAATTAAAACAAATTCAGGCTTCTCAAAAGCTTCAACCTTTTAAACAAAAGCAAAAATGCCAAAAATAAAGTTCAAATCTTTGCTTCATCTCTTCATCTTCTTCTGGGAATTTTTAACATGTTTTTCCAGGCCTATAACTTACCCTCCGCAAACCAACTTGTTGTTCCCCTCCGACGCCGTTTCCATCCTCTCCTTCAAATCCAAGGCCGACCTCGACAACAAGCTGCTTTACGCACTCAATAAGCGCTTCGACTACTGCCAATGGTGCGACGTCAAATGTGCCTAAGGTCGTGTCGTTCGCTATAACCTTCAAAATTTCGGTTTACGTGGTGTTTTTCCCGCCAACTCCCTCTCCCGGCTCGACCAGCTTCGGCTCCTTAGTCTCCACAACAACTCCCTCTCCGGTCGGATCCCTAACTTGTTTTCAAGCCAAAGGAGAAAGGCTTGTGATCTATGATTATCAACCCAATGGAAGCGTTTTTAATCTCGTTCATGGTATGAATTTTCTATTTATTTATTAAAAAAAATACTTTGGTTCTGGGTTTACTCGATGTAAGTGAGTAATGACTGAGTTTCACATTAATGTTGCGGCTGCATTGTTAGAATGGGATAAATCTTAAAAGATAAACCAAAATGGGGCCTTGCCGCAGAGTGTGGGAAAAAGAACCTAATAAAGTTAAGGCGCACCAGGGCCGCGCTATACTCCTATGTGGCGTAAGGCGCCCCAGGGACCGCGCTATACTCACGTGTATTCATATCAGCATAAGGCGCGTTTTAGGGGCGTCTTACCCCACGTGGCGTCAAATCAACATATAGCGCGGTGCAAGGGGCGCGCTTTACTGTTAAGGGTGTTAGATCGGAAAATATAGTCTGACCGATGTTAGATCGGTAAATATACCGGTTATCGGTGTTTTTTCGGGAAAAACGCCTGATTATATTACAAGAAAATGAATAAATAACATTTAAAAGTTAACAACCTATGATGCTTGGATTCAAGACGTATGGAACATATATATTTTTTAAAAATAAGAATCTGCAGGAAATCATATTATAAGTTACTTTACTTCATCTCCTTTTTAAGCATAGCATATTGTCTTTTAAACTTTCTCAAAGGAAGATGGTGGAATAAAGGGATATCCACAAAGTAAAGGAAATTTGGCGTATTTGGGAGCAAAAAGGCATTATCAAAAGACAGTGAGGACTAGTAGGTAAACACAGAGGTGGGATATCCTCCACCTCTTCTTAATACTAACACTTACCGGCTCAACTCCATTGAAAGGTAGGTGGCCGAAGAAAAAACATTCACCCAGCTGATTTCATATGATTATCTTCATTGCATAAAATGGGCTCAACGAAAATAAAGTTTCTTTTTGAATTTGATTGCAATTTCGAGAGTGGCCCCATAAAATAGTTCTTAAAAAATCCAAAATCTCTGTTTTGGGTCTTAAAAAATTGTTTTTCCCCATTGAGCTGAAGTTTTAAGACCCAAATGGCTATTCTCAACAGGCGTTTGTCTAGTTAGCAAGATGAGATTGAGAGCCAACCATCCCACGTCCCCTAGTAAATTTCCCTCGTTACAGTTTAAGTAGCAGAAGCCAGCAGCATTAGCTGGTCCCTTCGTGGACATCCGAAATAATTGGAACGATACAGAAGATTAGCATGGCCCCTGCCCAAGGATGACACGCACAAATCGAGAAAAAGTCTATTTTTTTTGCTGCTTCAAATGGCTTTCTCTTTTTGATTTCTCTAGCAGCTTCGTTCATGGTTTTGGATACTAGGTTATTGGGTTGCAAACCAGTAACTTTTCCCATTGCTGCTCTTATATGTTGCTGATTTATGATAGAATTTGGTAAGAAGAATAACATAAGTTGCTTCATATTTTGCTTGCATAATGTCTAAGGCTCCCCCCTCCCTTTTTGATTCATGCAATTATTATGTAAAAAAATCTGGGTTTGATGCATTTCATTGTGGGTTTGATTACGGAAAGTTCAATCTTGCTTGCTAAGTTGCATGTTTTTTTTCTTTCGATTTCATGATCAAAACTTGGAAAATACTCGACTTTATGCTACCATAGAGACCTATCAAATGTTCTAGTACTGTTGATTGGAAAAACATCCATGTTATATTTACTTAGGATGCTTGAATTTCATTTGAGAACAGCTGGAATAAACTGCTGCAAATACTGCATAAAAATTGATTGAACCATTAATTAGTTAACCTGTAGTCTTGAAGAATTCCATTTGATGTCCTCCATTTTAGTACTGAATCCTGAAGCAAATAAGGGCTGTTTGTTTACCTTTTAATTGAATCATTTAGATCTGAACGCTGAATCGGACCGAAGCGCGTTTGGTTCGTATAATTTCTTCGCTCTGAATGATTTAGAGTTGCTGACCGATTCAGACTTAAAACTCTCGCCTAATCATTCAGACGCACGCTAATACCCTTTTTCTCCCTCTCTTTATCATTTACTTTCGCTCATGAGCAACAACTAATCTTCCCACTCCTCGAGATAATCTGAACTATGCTTTCCTTTTGGACTTTGTTTTTAATCGTCTTAGTTATTGGTTTTTCTCTCTTCTTCCTTTATGAAATTTGCTGGAGCTGAATTTTCCATTGTTTGATATGTTTCTTTGGCTACTCTGTTTGACCCTTTCCCCCCTTTTCTTTTTAGGGATTTGGTTTAGTTCTTGTTTTGACAATCCCTTTGCTTGCCGCTGGTTCTCAACAATTCCGTTTCTAAGGTAATGTTCTCTTTAGTTCATTTTTTTCTTTGGTGAAGCCTTTTTAATTTTTATATCTTATGTCCTTCTTAAAGAACATGTTACCTTTGCCCGACTGTTTCTTTGGTTGTGTTCAGAAATTTAGTGAAGGGTTTTGATTTATGTTTTTATTTTTTGATACTTGGAAATGGGTTTGATGAATTTGGGATCCCTTTATTTGTATCAATGCTTAGCTTTGATGAATTGTCGGGTTTTTTTTATTATGCATATTGGAATAAATTCCGGCAGTAGCAAGAAAATCCATTTTTTTTAAAACTTTGGTAACTGAAATAACCCGCCCAAGTTATATCGCTGCGGTTTGATTGCTTTAGACAAATGATTTTGATCTAGTCAGTTATCTATTAGTAATGTCAGTTAAGTCGGTTTACATGAAAAAATCTAATGAACTGACTGATTAAACCGATTGCTCCTCCCTGCTAATTGGTTTATCAAAGTTCAATTTGGTACAATGTTGAATGTTTTCTTTTATATTTCAATTTTGGGTTTATTAATTTATGCATCTTGAATGACATAGCTGTCGTTTGCTTGCGGCCAGCTTCAACCATTTGCTGCTCATATGCTCTCCTTCCGCTCATCTTTGCCAACTGCCGGTTGCTGCAACTACTACCCTTTGGCCTTTGCTTCTGTTTTTCTGCTCAGTGCTCACTGTTACTGGTGTTTAGGTACACATGGATTTCTCTCCTTTTGCTATTAAGCATTGTTTTGTACCAAATGCTATTGATATAAGCCAAGGGAAAGACATCAAACTTACATGTAAAAAGGACTTATATATACTGTTTGGATATGTTATTAGACCATAGAAATTGATAGACCAATGAATATACGGAGGTCCTCTAAATATAAGAAAAAACCGTAGAATCAAGCTGTATATGGTGTTAGTTCACTTATTAAAATGTGTTGTTTGGATTAGAAATACTCTTTGGATTAGAAATATTTTTTGATGATTATAAATACTTTGTTATGTTTTAATGATGTCCTTTTATCATTTATCTATAACTTGAATGTGTCTTTTTGATGATGTCTTTTATATTTTGTTTCGACTAGGTTCCATATGGATTTAAATGACGAGGAGGTGTTTCTAATCATTATATGGTGGTTTTGGATGGTAAATGCATCACCAGGAGCTGAAAGAATTCGAGACAATAATTCAACATTGACTGGACATGCATATATACACAAGAATTGTTATTTGAGTCGAATACACAATACCATGAATTAATGTGTCTATCTCATGATGCATATATACTGTTATGTAACCTTTTAAAACAAAGAAATTGGTTGCAAAATAGTAGGATGATAACCGTGGAAGAGAAAATGGCTATATTTCTAACAATTATAGGTTATAATGAACGTTTTCGAATGGTTAAAATGAGATTCCAATACTCCACACAAACCATTCATAAATGCTTTCATGAGGTACGACGTGCAATGATAAAATTCACAAGAGAAATAATAGTTCTAACATCACAAGAAACAACACCGAATATGACACAAAGACAAAGACACCTACAAGAAATATTTTCAGTATGTTTTTTTATATATTTTTTTGTTATCACCCAAAAAATAATGTTTCAATTTCTTACCATTTATGTTATTCAATAAAGGGTGCAGTAGGTGCACTAGATGGAACACTCGTACATGTTGTAGTTCCTATCGATCAACAAGCTCGTTATAGAGGAAGATGAAAGGTGAATGTTATCAAAATGTCTTGGCAATTTGTGATTTTGATATGATACACATTTGTGTGGGCTGGATGGGAGGGCATAGCACATGATTCTAGAGTTTTGACAGAAGTTGCATTTAATCCAAACTCGAGTTTTCCTTTTCCTCCACAAGGTATATATCATTTCTTTCTATCGTATTAAAATGTTTTAATTCATTACATTTATTTATAGTTTTTTGTAACAAAATTTTAATGCTTATATATAAATAACAAATAAGTATTACCTTTGTGATGCTGCATATACCAACACACGTGGCTTTATGGCTCCATATCGTAATACGAGGTATTGGCTAGCAAATTTTCGACGTCAACGTGCCGTAACCAAGGAGGAAAGGTTCAATCATGCTCATGCACAACTTAGAAATGTTATAGAGCGTGCCTACGGAGTTCTGAAAGCAAGATTCCTAATCGTAAAGCAAATGGCTCCTTATCCTTTTCCAATACAACGAGACATAGTGATTGCATGTTTTGTTGTCCATAATTTTATAAGAAAATGCAAAGTTTATGATCAATTATTTATGGATTTCAACGAGAACAACATGTTTGATAGTGAAGAACAAGATAATGGAAATGAACAATACGAGATAAATGGAGTTGAATGGGGTCCTCAAGGCAATGAGTATATGGTTAATCTGCGTGATCACATTGCTAATCAATTGTTTTTAAATGCTTCAAATTAATATATTTTTTTTGGGTTGATTTGTCTAGAACAAAAGAATGCTTGTTATGTATTTTGTTTCATCAAAAACATAAACCAGTCTTTTATGTCAGTAGATTTGTTTATTATGAATGTTGATAATTTGTCTAAAAAATGTGTTTTTAAGTTACTTGATTTTATATTTTGTTATGATTGTTGATAATTTTGACAAAAAATGTGTTTTTATAAGCATCAAAAAGTAAAATATTTTTTAGCATTTATTCACAAGGTAGAAACAAATATATTTTATTTTGGCACAAAATCATACAGAAGGGTAATATGGTCATTTTTTGTCATTCAGACCGGCCATTCAGATGTATTATCAAACAACATATCACATTCATAGTTAATTCATACAGAGCCTCTGAATCATTCGATATTTGAATCATTTAGCGCCTAATCATTATGAAATAAACAAACAACCCTAAGCTTGATGAAAGAATGTCTCACAAAGCATCTCTCTCCTGGCAATTCCAGCTAGTTTTAACTCATAGTGTCTTGATTTGGTTGAGCTTGATGATTATACAGATTTCTGCTGTTTTAATTGCCTAATTGGTATAAGCAAATGAGAATCTATTGAAGTAAGATAATAGTCGTCCATTATCATATAATAAATTTGCCATGATTTTGCAAGAAAAAACAGTCATTGCTAAGTTGGGTTTGTTTCGTTCTCACAGTTGGTGTGGCTGGTGATGTATTACTATCATTGCACTTAATTTAGTAGCTTATCAGGACTGCATTGGAGTTCGTCTGTTTATAATATAGTGGCCTACTTTTCTCCCTTCCTTTCGGTGTGTTTTTATCTATTCAGTTTAAATGAATCTAAAACTTTATTTTAATAATAGATAAAAATTATAAGTAAACATCTATTCAGAATTCTCATTAATCATCGATGATGCATATATCTTATAAATTTAAAACATTTAGAAAGAATATTATTTTTCTCGATTGCAATCATTCAATGAATTTAAATTTCTTGAATGAATGTATTTTATATTGTCAATTAATAATAACATTAAATTGAAGTGCTGTTTAAAAATACGAGAAAAGGGTGAACATCAGATCTGTTAAAAGAGAAAGGGGTATACAGGCAGTAGGCCCTCGTAGACTTTACACAGTAACCAAAAAACATTAGACTGACCGCGCTGTAAATTTTCATCTCGATGTCTACTAATACTTGGCTACTTGCAATGCAACCACTGCTAATAAATCAAATCCCCAAAGGCCCTTCTCTCACCTTCCACCAACAAGCCCCCTTTCAGTTTTCAGATCAAAAGCTAACCAATCCCATACCCTGCTCTTTTAACATTTCGATCCTCACACGTAACCAAAGTACAAAAACAGAAGCACAAACACTTTAAAAAACAGCCCAAAAATAGACAAAGTCACAAAACCCAGTTTGTTTTTGGTCTTTCCTATTCGTTTCCAACTCACTTAAAAAAAGAGTCACATATTCACACGCGATCTTTGAATTTCCCTTTTTCAAATCAGTTTTTTTTCCTTCCCAATTTTGGCCACGGGGGACATATATGCCCATTTCCCCATATCACACAAGTCATGAGCCAATCTATCGATTAACCCCCCACACCTAAAAACACCCAAACCCCAAAGCAAACATTGGGTCATCTTCCTTTTTAAAACTCTTTATTTGGAAATGGAAGGTAAAGGAAATTACATGTTATATGCTAATATCATGTACGTTACTTTTTGCAGTCAATTTCTAATTCTATGGTTCTTCTGTGACCTAGCTGCTCTCTGCTTTGTGCTATTTTTTTTTGTATGCCATTAATATATTTGTTACTATATGTTGCCCCTTCCCCTAAAAGGAACCTGTTAACTTAATGTAATGTTTTCCCCTTGAATGTTTAGCCAAAAAAAATCATATGTTATATGATTCGGAGATTGTACATCTTTCTTTACTTCTATGATCTGCAATTTGGACCCATCTACACCATGTTATCACACCGGTTTGGGGATTATGTGGTTATTTACATTAATGAGTTTGATTGAAAAAAGTTATTTTTTTTCTTTCTTTTTTTATTTATAAAAAAGGAACTTCTTTTGGGGTTATTATTGTTGTTGCAAGATTAATGAATGACGTGTTTTGTTCATATGTTAGGGTTCTGTGAGAATTCTGTTTCTGGGTCTTGTTAGTTTGGGGTTTTGGCTTAACGATCTTTGGAGATTTTGGTTTTGAGGTGGTTTTTAAGATCTGGGTCTACCATGGTACTGTTTCTTTGGATAAATAGCATTAGGTTTTTCAGGAACCCTGTACTTGCTAAAAGAACCTAAAGGGGCTCTTATTTTTGCTAATTAACACGCAATATATTCTAAATAAATTCCTTCGAGTACATGGAAAGTTTATTTTTAATATATATTTTTCTTTTCTGATTTGCTTATTATATTGCAGCAAATGTTTGTAATTTCTTTCATTTTAAATAATGATTGATGATAATCAAGAGTGCTGGTTTATTTTATAAATGGGATGCACAGTTATGATTACAATTCTGCTCAAGTAAATTTTAACTATCAATTCTGTACTTAAACCAGGATGTTTTAGAAATGTATAAATTGCTATTCAATGTGAAGTTAAATGAATTTTAATGCTGGCAAAAAGGCCTTCAGCTTTAGCATTTTTTTCCTGGAAGCTGTTATGTCCTTTAAAGTACCTATCTTGATGCTTAGGAAGGACTTCTCCATGATTTTTATTCCAGTTTCCGTTATATATCCTTGGACAATGTTTCTTTTGCATCATCTGACTATAGTATGGTCTGAGCTTTGTTTGGACAGGAAATTGACTTTGGGGACCAATTGATGTTCATATGCATTGCACATTATACCGCTATAGAGATTTCGGTTTGAATCATGAAAGTGGCCCCTTCTTCTGGTGTTGTTGCGGGCTCTGAGTGCGCTCAACCGAGTTCAGGAACAACTTGCGAGGGAGAAACTAATTGCTTGGAACGTAGGAAACAAGTTCAAGAATCGGATGGTAGGATGGATGACTTATTGTCAAATGTGGTCAGAAATCCAGCTGGAAGACAGGATGCAGACCAAGGCACAAGGGATCATTTGCCAATTTCTGGAGATTGCCATAGTGGATCTTCAGATAATGATTGTCAAGCAGAGCGCCAAAGATTATCTTGTGAATCACATGATTACGAAGAAGTTTCAAATGTGCAGAATTGTTGCACTGGACCTGATTTGGCCTCTCAAAACTCTCATTTAATTATTGACACCATTGAAAGTGAATTGCCAAGCAACAACAAGGAGGCAGAGTTGTCTCCGTCAGAGTCCAAGTGGTTAGATCGTGATGAATCTGTGGCATTGTGGGTCAAGGTAGGATTTCTTGTTTTAGTCGTGAAACAACATATCTCTTATCCAATGATTTTGGTTTTGATTCACATTACTGATGCCATGGTTTTTTGGATGTGTTCTCATATTATGCCTTATGTTTATTTTCTCGGATTATCTGCATTTGTGTACTCATTATCTGTTTATGCTCTTAAATTCCCTTTATATTGCCGTCTGAATATTTTTCTAAATGAAAATCCTTTTTCTACTGTTCTCTATTTTTATTTTTCTCAAAAAATAAATATTGTTTTTATTAATTACTTAATTTCCTAGTCGATAAATATACGTGCAGCATGTATCTCATGTTGATACTCATCTGTTTTTCCAAATATAGTGGAGAGGAAAATGGCAGGCTGGCATCAAATGTGCAAGGGCAGACTGGCCATTATCAACTTTAAAAGCAAAACCAACTCATGATCGGAAGCAGTATTTTGTGATATATTTTC